AAGGCCCTCCACTAAGCCCTGCCACTATCTGTTGCTGCTTCCAGGAATTCACACAGCCAGAGCTCAGTAGTCAATGAACTGATGCGGAGTTGAAGACCAAGTTCCTTCCAGCTTCTGTTAAATTAGACTCAGGAGTGCCTTCCAGGGCCTTGGGAGGGGTGACTTTCCTTCCCCGTTAGTGGATGCTGAGGTTTGGCATGGATTCTCCTAAATTAGAGCAAGGATCGGTGGTCTTCCTCTGCTGGAACTGCCACCCAAGTGCCAAATGACCAGGCAAGAAGGCACTGCTCCTGCCCAGGCATGTGGGGCTGTTGCAACATTTCCATTACAATCATGATGCAGTTTTTCACCATAACTTTTGAGGTCACAACCAACCTTGTTAACAGCAAGAAGAAAAGGGTGAGTAATGGGGGAAGGCAACGGAAGGAAAATACAAAACTTTACAACAATTGCACATAAACATAAAACTTTCTGATAGAGAAGGGTTACTCATTACAAGTGGGTATTAGCCAGCAACACCAAGGAATAAACTGGAATCCTTACTAGACATATAAGATATATCCAAAATACAATCTAAAAATCCATTTTACTTAGTAAAATTCAAGCAAATAATTGGAAGCACTTAACACTGAACACAAATAAAAAGTTTCATATAAAATATTTTATTAGCAGTCTATATCTTAAAAGATTCTAGTTTTATACTCATACACCCCATTCCTTTCCCACGTCAGGTGGTTTTGTTTTTGCCATGTTGTAATTTAGCTGGCATCTGATGAAAGCTTTAATGGGTTTTGATTATACTTTTACCATTTACACTACAGGCCATGAGAGAATTTTCTCTTTCCTTCTTGGGGTGAAAGACGATTGAGTGAAGATTTAAGGCTGACATTCTACTAAGATCACAGAATACTACTATTAAGTACACACCAGAAGCCAGCCTGCATGTGTGCCTATGTATGTGTGCGCATGTGTGCACGTCCCTCTGTGTGAACACACATTGCACACATACAGAGGCATACCCATCTCTCGTTACATTGAGTGTGTTTCCAGGCATGCTGCAGTAGGAAGCTAAGACCTGGGTAAGGGTGGAGGAAGGCACCTCTCTAACTGAGACAAGGAGACCAGTCCCAGCAAATCTGCTAGTATACTCTTGGAATGCTCTGATGCACGGTGATCACAGGCGTGAGGAGCAAGGGTCTCCCACTCATCTCAGCCATCTGTTTGGTGACAGCGAGTCCAGAACACATAACCAAACTGACAACATTTAAGCTAGTATTACACTTCTATCTTACAAAATAATTTCAGGTACATTTGCACCATATGAACAGGAGGCAGTTAGGTAAAGTAAAAGCAAACAAATAGGGACTTTGGGGTCAGCCTTGGCTTCAAATTCCAACTCTGTCTTTTCCTAGCTCTGGGATTCTGGGTCTCTTCTGAGCCTCGCCCAGCCTCAGTATTCCACATCTGCAAAGAGGGGCTTTGTCTACCTTGAAGGGTTGGCCAATGACCTCAGCCATCACCTCAGAGGAGAAGTGGTCTCTGACTCCATCCCCAATATAGTTTCCAGCACTCAACATCTGATTGCTGATAGGGAAGTGGCCATCTGGTCACCTCCCAGTCCACACTAGAGGGCACTGTGGGGGCAAGTCCAATGTCTGAGTTTCCTCCCCATTGAACCCCAATGCCTGGGGCAGCCAAGGCACAGGGGATGGGACAGTAACCTATGTTGAGCAAGTAAATGAATAAGGAATTTCTAAGGCATTCAGCCAGTCCCTGTTCACTCAACAAGGAGAGATACTCACCAAATTGAAGCTCATTGTTTTATATTCTCATTGAAAGGTGAATTTGTCCCATGGACCCAGCCTGAGTTCTGACAATGCTTTCTCAGGTTTGGGAAATGACTTTGGGTTGGTAAGCAATGTCTCCTGGGCAGACATGAAGCTTCCTTTGAGCAATGTTAGAATTCAATGGTACTCCCCTGTATCCTGAAAAGTTCCACTTAAAAGTGATATTCTTTGGACTTTTATTAATATTATTGCTGCAAAAACTGTGAGACTGCGTATATTTTATCCAAGATTTAATCCTTTCTTTTAAATGAAGTAACTCAACCAGAGATAAAAGGAATATTTGGGTCATTACATCCAGAACTTGCATGAACTATATTTGGGAAGTCAGTGTGGGTTTAAACTCGAAGGTATGAAAGAGACTATATCAAGTACCTCTCAACTAAAACTATTTAGGGAGAAAAAAAACAAACCAACAATAAGTTGCTTGAATGTTAGCCCATTTGGGATAAGGTATATATATATTTTTAATCTATCCTAAAACAGAAAGCACAGGCAACATTTCAGGAAACTCAAATGAAAGTAGGAGACGGTACTTCATTTAAATCAAGACAAGGGTTTATAATGAGAAAATTCCAATAAGGACACTTGATGCTTGGAGAGGGACAAAGGTAGCCCTCCAGGGCTGACAAGTCTTCCCTAACATGGCTTTAGAACCTCTTCAAGTTTACAGGGGAGTGGTAAGCAAAAGTATCCTGTGATGGTGACCTTCAGAAGACCCACTGTACTGTAATGAAGATAGTTAAAAAATAACTTTATGTTCCTCAGCATCTACAATGCAACCAGAAGCCCTTGCATCCTCCAGAATCTACCCCTTAAGAGGACTCCAGTTGGTTTCTTATCTACCAAGGGACAGATATGCTCTGCCAACAGGGGACAATTGAAATAAACATAGAGAGCCTGGGTGTCTAGGGGAATAATACCTTCAGAAGGTGCCAGTATTTTTAGAAAACAGATCTCCAGACTACAGGAATCTCATAACACTGTGGTTTCAGTAAATGAGATGAGGTTGTCATTGGAGCAGAGATGTTGATGGGCACAGTCCTTATTAGGGTCAAGAATACACCATACGGACTTACAACTAGGAAGGCTCATCTGGAGGGACAGGGCTCTTTGGATACTGACTTCATCCAAAATAATGTTGGGTGTGATCCCTAACTTTTTTCTCTTTCCAATTCTACATTCCAGCAGGCTGTTCCTCTTTAGGACTCCCCTACATGTGATCTGTTCCAGGCACATCTATCTGGAAATTCAATGAAGTTTTTTTTTTTTCCAAAGGCTAAGTCTGACTCTGGTTAAACAACAATTTGGAAGACAGTGTCATATTTCTATAGAACAACTGGGCTTTAAATGATACTTTAATGTATCTCAATTGAATTTATGCAAAAAGGTCTAAGGATAAAGAAGGGATCAAATCATTGTGTAAGTAGAATTTCCCTGACCCTTTTTATGTCTTTAAAGCAGAAAATAAGAGCTTCAGGAACACAACTGAGGAATCTCAGAACTTTTTAGGGCTGAAATGGCCTTGAAGATGATCTAGTACAACTGTGTGCCGATGAGAAAAACTGAGGCTCAGGGCGGTTAACTGCTTTGCTCACAAAAAGACACTCTTTTATTAGGAGACCCTGATTCCAGAACAATGACATTCTAGAAGGGGAAAATAATTGCGTTTTCCTAAAAATGGCCTTCTTTGATCAGCCTCATCTTCCAACATAGTAGTCACATTGCCTTTGGGGCAGGTGAGGAGCACTTGAACAGCCCTGCCAGGATACAAAAGTCATTTAAATGAGGATCATCCTTTCTGCACAAGTGGGATTTTAGATAGTGACAATGTTGCCAGAATTAATGGGTTTCCTTCCTGAGAATATGCAAGTTCTATATGAACATTTGAGAAACTAAATGTCTGCGAAGGGGATAACTTGTATATCATCCCTTTTAGGATTCTGCAGATGAGAACTAGGAGGTGGAATTCTCACAAGTCTAAATGCATTGTTTTGTTAACATCCCAAGCACCACTGGCACACTGCATTAATATCTCCCCGATCTCTTGCCAATGTCTGGGCACCTCAGGAAATAGAGCCAGCATCTTCACCTCTCGAAGTTACCTTGTCTTTCACTAACTATACCTGCAGTTCCAGCCTGCAACATTTACACCTGAAATCCCTGAAGTCGGCCTTTCCTAAGTTCAGTGGAGGTAGTTGATAGGATATGTGAACAGAGAGAAAATGTTGGCTAAAAAAAAAAAAAAATCAACAAGGTTGCTTTTCTAAAATTCTAGAATTTTTTTTTTAGGCAAAATTAAGGTGCTCAGAGAGTTACAAGGAAAAATATGCATATATTTTGCTTAACATAAGAAATACATGAAGAATAAAAGATTTTGAAACAATTGGCCAATTTCACTCTACATTTTTTTTCCCTTGTTTGTTTCTCTTTTTATGTTCAGCACAGCACAGTGCCTCCGATTTCAAACTCTTCAGTCAACCTGTTAACTTGCTCTTGAATCTTTCCCAAGTTCTGTCTATAAACGAGACCAGCTCAGCAGTTGAGTTAAACCCCTTATACCTCTAAAAAGAAGTGTGTGGTATATCCTGAACAATTTTCTTCAACAAGTACTAAAAAAGATACAATTTCTCAAAAGGCATGAGATTTATAGACTTTTGGCTTGCAAAGCAGCTTCTCACTGGAAAAGAGGCAAACCTTAGAAAGACGTTAACTGTGAAAAACAACAGTCATAAAATGGAATCAATCATTCTGCATTTCAACTTTCTGCCCCAGGACTTCCACATGGCTGCGCAGTGAACGACCCAGAAGATGCCTGCAGTGCCCATCCAGGATGAAAGTTATCTGGTCACAAAGAAGGGTGTTACCAAGGAAACCTTCCTGTCACAAGCTATGTTACAGTTTTAAATTCCACCCCACTGGTGGCATTTTCGATTCTGCATGTAAAAAATGAAGACAAGAACAAAAAAACCTTTCTCTATCTTCTTCCTAGTTAAAGCTAGAAAGGGTAATGGAGAGAAGGCCCAACCTCACTGGGTGGAGGAGTTGAACACTAGACACCTACAGACCAGGCGCAGTTTCTAGGAGCTGGGTCTGACAGTCTGTGCAGAGGGGTGCAGGCCTGCCGCCACAGTTCTACAAGTGCCCGTGGCACCTCCACATCTAAGTTTTCTCTTGACTGGCATCCAAGCATTTTACCTCTCAGCCCGGATTTTGTACCTCAGGACAAAATAGGCAATGAGGCGCAGGGAGATGAAGAAAATCCCAAGGACAATGAAGTCTAGGTAGAGTTTGGCATTTTCCACATCCAGTTCTCTCAGGATGGCCTCGGACTTCTGAAAGTGGCAGGTCTCGTCAATGTCGCAGTGCAGGTCTTCACGATCGAGGCCGTAGATGGAGAGAATGACACCTTCAAAGCCGTACCTAGGATGGAAAGCATTAGCATGAAGCGGAACTCTGACCAGCCAGCCAAGCTGACTGCCCCATGCTCTCCATTTGATGAAGGGCTTTCTTAAACCCAAATATGTTCAAACTTTTCAAGTTCCTAAGGTAAACACATCCAACAGCGTGACTATATTTTTTTCCCAATGTTGTTCTCTTAAGATCTTCCACCCACTATTAAGACCACCAAAATTGAGCCAGGTATTCACTCCATGGTGAAATGAATAAAAAACCCTAGTGACTGCTTCTGATATTATATAACCTTCAACCGTTTGATATCACAGTTGTTCTGATAGCTTTCCAAGGACTTTGGGCCATTTGAATAAAATATTTGGTACCCTGTATCATTCTGTTCCAGCCCTACAGCGTTAGAACAAAAACACTCATTTTGAGAAGAAAAGTAGCCAGTTTCTGATTTCTCGGTATTGGAGACCTTACGGGCTGCTGAAACCCTGTACAAGGGCTTTGTTTCTCGAGTTTGTTTCTCTGAACAACATACCTGGGTTTGAACTGGCATTCTAGAAAAGAAGTGCTTGTTCCCCATTTGGATCTTTTGTGTCTTATGGAATCACAGCAGCTGCTAGAGAAAAGCCCTAAAGGCGGGAGTTGCCATCTGAAGGGTCAACGTGCCAAAGAGCCATTGGGGAGCAGATAAGCCAAATGCCTGAAGTGCTAGATTAGTCTTGCTCAGAGATATTAGGATGCTCAAAACATGACTTATTTTTATTTCCCCTTCGGTTTCTTATTATAATTTTCAAACTACTCAGAACCTTATTGTTGTTGTTGTTGTTAAGTGCCGTCGAGTCGGTTCCGACCCATAGCGACCCTGTACAGGGTTTCCGAGGGTGTAAATCTTTACGGGAGTAGAAAGCCTCATCTTTCTCCCGCGGAGCAGCTGGTAGTTTCGAACCGCTGACCTTAAGGTTCACAGCCCGATTCGTAACCACTACGCTACCAGAGCTTCTTATTATAAGCACTGTTTATTTCAGTGAGGAATATGGAACTTACTCAGAGGGGTGAAGTTCCTAAACAATGGAAAACACTTCCTTCCTAAAGTGGCTCTGCCACATCCCCAGAATACGAGCGTATATGTGGCTTTCTTAGGGTGTGAGCTGCAAGTGCTTCTTGTACCCTTGTTTAGTGCGTGTTGGTGAGTGTGCAGCACACAAAATAAGATAAATAAACACATAAATAAAAGGCATCAACATCCTCAGATTCATGACCTGCATTTAGCTGACAGACAAGAAGCGGCTTCAGTGAACAACTGCATGTTAGTTCTGTCCTGAGGAAGTCCCCAGTTGCACACTGTCCCCCACTGGTCCTCCCATAACACTACCTGACGTAGGAAATGTAGGACATCCACTGTAGGTACGTAGGGATGGTATCGAAGCTCACGAAGAATCCCGAGAAGAGAAGAACTGGGATGGCGGTCACGGGGCCCACGAAGGTCGCCACCTATTGGTGGAATAGGGACACAGGAGTACTCAGGGAGAGGATGCAGGAAGTCCCACCCACTCCCTCCTCAAGCAGCCCCTGGAGGTCATTTTCTATGCAGCTCACCACCTGTTGGACAGAATGACTCCCCAGAGGGTCAGGGTGCTAAGGATGGGTTAATACAAGAACCAAGAAGGTGGCTGGAAAGTATCCTGTGTCCACCTTGTGAGGGGCAGGTGGCCCGTTCCATGCACAGAACAGGAACTTGGTTTTGATGCCTAGTCGGGACAGAGGAGGTTGAAAAACCAAAACTTCCACTGAAGAGCAGGGGGCAGGGTGTCTTCTGGGAATGGTAATTAAGAAAGAGTGCTTAATTAAGCCCCAGCGGGTGGGGGAGAGGGGAGCAATGTCTCCCGAAGAAGCTGACAATTTGGTGGCATCTCCGTATCTGAGGGGCCCCCATCTGGAGGCTGAGGCACAGATGTCTGCCTTGCTGTGACACCTAACTACAGGTCCCCAATAAGCCTCCAGTAGACCCCGCAAGCGGGCGGGAGAACTTTTGGATGCAGTCCGAAAACTAGACTGATGGTTATTCCCACTTGAGACCCACAAGGATGGAAATGCCTCAAAGGTGGGACTTCTCGGCACCAGCCCTCGGGTGCATATAGAAAGCATTCCACCAACAGTACCATAATGAATGGATGAAACCAACGTCAGCCTGCATGAACACAGTTCCTGCTGTGTGTCACCACTATTTCAGGGCAAGTGGGCCACAGGAGAAGCCAACTCCACTACACCAACTCTTGCCTTTAAAGTGGAACAAGAATCTAGTGAGATGTTGTGGTGTGTGCATGTGACTTTGTGACAAGTGTGTGAGTTCTGAGTGTACATTTTGTGGGTGGGTGTATTTTACAGGTGTGTGCATGTGTCTGTGGTTTATGGGTGAGTAGGGTGTGCAGACTTGTACACAGGAACATCACAGATGGCGCATGACATTACATGAAGCCCCAAAGGAAGGCTAAGATGTCTCCCTAGGGCTGGTGGGGCTAGCTCTTTTGAGGGTGTCAGTGAACAGGTGGTGGTAGAGGGTTGTGTTAGTGGCTGGGTGGCCCTGGGCCTGTCAGACAGAAGAAACAGACTGAACAAAGGACTACAGCCATGAGGTTTCCCAGTGTGGCTGGTGGTGGAGCATGGGGCTGAGTGGGGGCAGGGTCCTGGGGTCTGTGGGGTGTCATGAGGGTGGTTGTGTGGAGAAGGGGTTGGGAAACCCTGGAGAGAAATGCCTACAGAGTTTGGGCAGCAAACACTTGTGAAATGCCTGGTACACATCAGGTACTTGCAGAGGGGGTTGAACTAGATAAATTACCTATCCTTGTGACAAAAAAAAACCAGCAACCTTCAACCACAAGGAAAGTTCTAGAGCTGGGATGTACGGCTTGGAGGCCGAGTAAGGGAGCCCTGGCACCAATGTATTATCATGAGGCTAGTCAGACCCAGGAAGGGAACTCCGCCTGCCCTGGTTTACTGAGACCAGCACAGAGCACACAGGAAATCACACTTCCTGTTTCTTTAAAAGCCAAAAGGTATCTGGCTCCTGACTGAGATGTATGGAGGCCTCCTCAGGGTGAGGGGGACAGGGGAGTTATAGGAGGAGGAGTACTGAGGAGCACCATTTCCTGTGGGTCTAAGTACCTGAGGTACAGTATCATGGTTAGTTCTCACTGCAACCCCCAAACCAAATCTGTTGCTGTTCCCATCAATGTTGACTCATGGTGACCCTATGTGTAGAACTGCTCTTAGGGTTTTCTGGGTTGCAATCTTTATGGAAGCAGGTTTCCAGGCCTTTTCTCCACAGCACTACTGGACAAATTAGAACTGTCAACCTATAGTGTTCTAATCAAACCGTTTGCACCACCCAGGGACCTCACATCATCCCTGCTTGATCAACATCGTGATCCCCGCTTACAGATGAGAAGCTGAGGTCCTGGAATGGATTGTGGAGAAGAAACAGGGAGAGGCAGAGGACACCCAGGTGCTCTCTGTTTTTATCTTTAAGCAATAGTACTGGTTTGAGCATCCATGCTTAGAAGAAGGCACACAAAAGAGAAGAATTGGGAACCCACGTGGGCTTGGGATGTTGAGACGCAGAATAGTTCCAGGAGTCTTGGAGGTGAGTGGGCAGAGGAAAGGGTATACAGGACGGGGGGATAAGTGTGTCAGTGCCACAGGGAGGGATTCAAGGATGGCAGACTGGATCACACAGAAGCAGAGAATCACAGGCGCGTGATCCCAACCAAATCACATCAGCTCTCTGGGCCTCAGTCTTCCCATCTGTAAAGTGGGAAGTACCTAACTTGTAGAGTACAGTTATGGTTATGTGAGTTAACATGTGCAAAGTCTTGAAAATTGCACCACATAAGGGAATCCTAGGTGGTTCCCGGGTGACATAAATGACTTGCGCTCGACTACTAGCCTAAAGTTCATGATGTTTGAACCCACCCATTGGTACCATGGAAGAAAGGTCTGGGCATCTTGGCTAGTGAAGACAGCAAGAAAACCCTGGGGAAGAGTTCTACTGGGTAATGCAAGGGGCCTCCATCCGACAGAGTCAACTTGATGATTAACTGGTTTAGTCTTTGAGTTTGGGAAGGTAGTCCCTGGCTGGTACAAATGGCAAGTCAAATTCACCCAGAGGTACCTAAGACAAGAAGTCTGGAAATCTACCTGTGAAAACCCAGCCACCAAAAACTCTTTGTAAGACAGTTCTACTATGATACCCATGGGGTCACCATGAGTCTGAGTCGGTTTAACGGCAACTGACTTCAAGGGCACCGGGAGATTTCATCACCCATTGTACATCTGCCAATTCTGATTGTGCAAGACATGTGATTGCTTCCCAGGGGAACTGCCTCGGGGAGAGCAAAGACAGGAAGTCCAAGGCAGGAGGAGGAGGGGCCGAGGAAGAAGGTAGCAGCCCAGGGAGAAGGGCCCGGCCCACAGACTCCCATTCACCAGTACCTGCAGGGACGTGGATGCAGCCCCGATGAGCAGGCCCAGGGACTGGGCCACAAGTGACGTCATGGTGCCCAGGGCGGCGAACAGGACAAAGCGCACAGCGTCGCATGGCTGCGAGGTCATCCAGTACACAATGCTGCAGTAGGCCACTGGGAACATGATCTGAGGACACAGAGCACTCAGGGGTCACCGTACCACCCAGGGCACTGTCACCCCACAAAGCCCTCTAATCCTGAGCAGCACATGCTTCTCTTGAGGTTCCAGGGAAGTGAGAAAGCCCGATCACCCTGCTACATCCCTCAGTCCTGGGGAACAGGGGTCTCCACCCCACTCTATAAGTTACAAATGAAGAACATTTGGTCCCTCTTTTGATACACACCTGGAAGGGGACATCAGCCATGGTCTTGGCCAGGTAGTAAGCCTTCAGGCTGTACCAGTAATTCAGGTGCTCCCGAAGAAATACTCCCATCTCGAGAGGAACTGAGATAAAAGGAATATGAAAGCATGGGTTTAAGCAGACAGGCCTGGGGTGCTAAATATTTAAATAGGGCATCTTGTGCTGATCTACTCCTAAGCCCATTCTGGCCTTTGGCACAGTGTGGGCCTTACAATGCTGAGGCGTTTAGAATGTGAGCAGAAAGATAGGAAATGCTTTACTGAAAGGCTGAAGGTTTGAACCCACCAGCTGTTTATAGGAGAAAAGTCCTTGCAATGTGCTCCTAGAAATATTACAGCCTGGGAAACCCTATGGGGGCAGTTCTACTCTTTCCTATAGAGTGACTAGGATTTAGAATTGGCTTGTCACCACACAACAATTGTAATACCAGCCAACCATGTTATAGCCTGAAGAGTCACTGAGTTGGGGGATGAAGGAGTAAAGACCATTCACATGGCACAGAGCAACCTTTTAGTTATGAATCTAAGCACACACTGCTAACCTTCTTATCAAAGCTGCCTCTCCTGAAATTGTCACGATACGACTCCTTCTCCTGGATCAGACCTCCTGAGCTAGTCTTGGGAACGTAGGGCAGTTTAGAGAGGTGGCATGGTGGGGAGGAGGTGTTTACGCTGGAGCTCTGCTAAAGCAACAGCTTTTTACACTATCAGCTCCAAGTGGCCCAGGGCAGTCTTCTTTGTGAGCAAATTAGAATTACATGGACATTCACCTAGAAGAGGTTTACCAACTAACAGTCAGTGACAGTGGTTATTTTAATAAGTGAACTGTAGTACTTGTTGACACACAACGGAATAAAAGGCTGCCCTATCCCGCGCCATCCCAACGATACTGCGATCAGACTGTTGTGACCCAGATAGAGGGTTTGCACTGGCTGGCTTTCAGAAGTAGATCGTCAGGCCTTTCTTCCTAGTCTGTCATAGCCTAGAAGCTCTGTTGAAATCAGCTCAGTATCAGCCTCCACGGGCAGATGGGTGGTAATTGTGCAAGAGGTCCATTGGACAGGAATCGAAGCTGGTATCCTGGGTCTCCCCCCGGAAAAGTGAAATTCTACCACTGACTCACCACTACTGCCTCCATTAATGAACTAGGTAGTGCTTAAGTAGCAGAATTTGATAGGCCCATGATTAGAATACCCTTCAGAAATATCTCATCAGCTTTTCTACCATGGCTAAAAGTCTTCCAAGTAGTAATTCGGAGTCCCGATATGGGGCTGCAGGATTAGCATTGGACTGCTAACCGCAAGGTCGGCAGTTCCAACTCATAAGCTGCCCCTCAGAAACCCTATACAGGATTGTTATGAGCCAGAACTGGCTCCAAGGCACTTAACAACAACAAGACTAATTCATTCCTTTGGCTTAAACAATGCATTTTCTTATCTAACTGCAAAGACAATAACACCTATAATTTGTTAACAAAAAAGAGAACATTCAAAAAGAAGGCACTATGCCTTCAGAAAATTCACCAGTGGGTCAAGCCATGATTTCAGTTCCCCCATTCTTGGGTAGGAATCACAGATTGCAAAGCAAAGGGTCTGTGGCCGTGACTCACATGTGAGAACAGTGGGCATGAGGGCAGCGAACATGAGGAACAGCATGGAGAAGAAGAGGAAGCCGGAGTTGCTGAGGACTTTCTTGGCTTCGTTCCCAATCCCCAAGTAGAGTAAGCCAATGAGAAGGCCAATTCCAATGTGCGAGGTGATCCGCAGGTGTGTCAGGACCTGGGGGTAGACACAGTTCTTACACAGTGCTCAGGGAAGTTAGGGCTGGACAGCCCACCAGAGCAACAAAGCCAAGGTCTTGAGAAACACCGCAATCTGAGTTCTATAATAACAGACCTTGTTTTTCATACTACTCCTCTAATCTAAAACCACAAGCCCTCAATCCTAAACCTTGTGACACTTCAAACACATGCAATGATACACACGTGTGCACATATGCACATATATATGCACACACAAGGCAGAATTTTACTACTGTTAAAACAGAAGCAATTGTACCCTTTGTTAAATCCCATTCAAAATGATGACTCAACAAGGGTAGTTTACCTTCAAAGGAGAAATAAACAGGTGGTGGGGAGGAAGGCAGAGACTGCTTAGGCCAAAGACTTCCATGTGTGGAGCTCTGCAGGTTTAAAATTAGGCCACAGAAGCTACGCTGCACTCAGTCCCTCTTATACTGGGGGCAAGATTGTCCATTCAAGTGGTGGATACAGTTAGCTTCCCCATGATCAGTTATCCACTGCCTCCTTTCCTGCAAGGAATGGCCTCATGATCTGCGGTGCTTTATTGAGGGAGGAATGTGCTCCCCCACTGCTCTGGTATCAGGGTGGCCACATGTCCTGCTTTGGTCAGCAGAACGTGAGCTCAGGTGACAGCTAGCCACCTTGAGAAGAAGCGTTCATCATCAAGGTTCTGCACTTTGCCTTTCTCATGTCCCAGAAAAGAAGCATCCCTATACTCTGAGTCCCAGAATGAAGACACATGAGCAGAACCACAACCAACCCACACCCACCCACAGATAACATAGACATTTACTGTTGCCTAGCAGGGTGGCACCATACCACAAGCACTGGACTGCGAACCACAAGGTCAGTGATTTGAGCCCACCAGCCACTCCACATAAGAAAGATAAGGCTTTTCATTCCTATGAAGATTTAAAGTCTCAGAAACTCTGTACAGAGTCACTATGAGTTGGAACCAGTTTGAGTGCACTTAACAACAACAACAACACACTGACATGTTGGGATTGTGTGTTACTGAAGCATAATAGAATGAAAATTGATGAATACAAATGGAGTGGTAATGATCTAACTTTTTTTAAATTTCAGGATGAGCCTCCGGGCTGTGAGAGTGTGGTTTGAAGCACTTACCGAGTCCCTCATGATGCTGAGGAATGTCCTTTTGAAGAGGATGCAGAACTGGGTAAGGCAGCTGGCTGAGAAGCTGTGGCAGCCTTCCATGGATGTGGAATCCTAAGGGAATATGCAAGAAGGGAGAGGAGGTCAAATTCCAATCCTGGATCCACCGCATCTTGGCTAAGGAAAAGTCTCATGCAGCGGGTGCAAAGTGCAGCATGCAGCTCTCCCCGGGGGGTTAAGGGATTGGCATTACCTTTCTCAACCCCTTCAATCGTTTTGCCTGCTTTACCTCTTCAGAGGGCCGGTGCCAAAGAAAAGGGTTCACCTCGGCATCACCCCCAAGGTCTCTCTTGTAGTCGGAGTCACACAGGCCCTCCCGAACAGCTGTCACCAGGCGACTGTTCTGGTCACCGTACTCGCCAGACGCAACCTCCATGACTGCACAGAACACAGATGTGGGTCAGTCCTGGGTACCGGCAAGGTGGGTGAACTGGTGTTGCTAATCTGCATTATGGGTCACCTTCATTTGACAACAAAGCCAGAGAACCCACGGCCATCGAGTTGACCCTGACTCACGATCGCGCATGTATGTCTGAGCAGGGCTGTGCTTTGCAGCCTTTTCAATGGCTGGTTTTTTGGAAGCAGATCACCAGACCTTTCTTCTGAATTGTCTCTGGGTGGACTCGCACTTCCAACCTTTCAGTTAGCAGCTAAGCATGAAAGCATGGACTGTCTGTACTACCCCGCAACTCCAGATTTTGCAATGACAAAGTCATTGTTGTAGGGGAAAGAAACAAGTGGGAATCATTTAGGATGATTATCCAGATGTTGCTTGATGAAGATGATGATGTCAAAACCATGCACCCATCAATGTTAGGCTCTGAAACCCATTGGCCATGCCGGGAAGCAGAGAATGAGAAGGTGTATAGTACTGTGAAGGAAGAGAGTTTGAAGAGTCTGTTGCTCCTATATCTCTGAATGTTCTCTTCCATACAATATTTATCGCCCATTACAGCAACACAGCAGTTGGCACTGGGGTGATAGAGTCCTGGTGTGGCGCTGTAGGATAAGCACTGGTTGGTGGTTCAAACCCACCATCCACTCCTTGGAAAGCTTATAGAGAGTTGCTATGAGTTGGAACTGACTCGATGGCACTTACCACCACCACCTAGGGTGATAAGCAGGACTCTTTTTGAAGAGCTCAAAGCTTAGTGATATGAGTGATGAGGGCAGTGGCAAGTCAACGGGATCACAGCGTGTCTGGGACCAGGGCAGGGCTTGGTACCCAGGGAATCCTAAATCTCAGAATAATTTGCCAGCACCTCTCAGACCTCCGCTTAGTACCCCCCTCCTGCTCCCCATTCACCACTTGTTCCCACCATCACCCCTTTTACCTGGGACATCACACCAAGCTTATTTCCTCTCCAAAATCACTAACTGTGATGTCTGATGGGCTTGTTCAGCCATCAGCTCTTCCAGTCCTGTGGCTGTACATGTCCTCCATCCAATCAGTCTCCTCCTTTCTGCTCTTCCTTCATTGCACAGCATCACACAATCCAGTAACATTCTTGCTAACCTCTTCATCCACTTATCTTTTCATCACACCTTTCTGGCAAAACCAGTTCTCTGCTTTCCCCAAGCTTGCATTGGGACCACCAAGCACTCTCAATGAAAGTCACAAACCAAGATGCCTCTGCCCACTAGAAACTCATCACAAAGACCTCAAAAACACCCTGAATTCTCCATGCCACTTCTGCAAGTGTCTCTGACACTCAGTCACTGCTGCATCACACCTGCCACACTCCCCTCACCTCCTGCTCTCCCTTCACACACCTAGAACTCTTATCCTCACAGAGAAAACGAAAGCCCCCAGGAGGGAATACCTGCATCTTCCCAGGGTCTCTCCCCATTTCCACTTCTCCTCTCTGCCTGTCCTGTCTCTACAGTCTCCCCTCCTTACAGGCTTAAACCATCCCCCGCACCCCCTCCCCACACTTGCTCAGTAGCACCAGGTCACCAAATGTCCCTTCTTTTCCTCTGGATCAATATGTAACTGTCAAGGTGAGCCTTCCCACTGGCTGTTTCATAAGCTCAAATCTTCCCTTAAAGCAATACTCTCCCTTAACCTCACCTCCTTCCAGCTGACTGCCTTCTGTCCTTCCCTCATTGCCTACTTCTTGTTAGTGTGTGTTTGAGAAACAGTGTAGGAAGTATGGAGTCCTGGGAAGGGCATGTCCAGATGTTTTTAAGGAAAGACTGATGGTAGAAAGCCCAAGAAGGACAGGATGTCAATGACAAAGGCTTAGCCTCGGAGCACAGTGGTCAAGGAAGGAGGACATTGGGGAGAGAGAGCGCTTGACGATCTAGGAAATGTGAGAAATCAGGAGAGACATCAAGGGACATCTGCTCAGAGACCTGGGCAAAGTGGGATGCTGTCAACTGAGAATGGGATCCCAGAGTTGGTCATTCAGTGGCAGAATTCTAGCCTTCTGTGTAAGAGTTTGATTCCGGGTCAACTTTGTGCACAACTACAACCCATCTGTCAGTGGAGGCTTGTATGTTGGTATGATGCTAAATGTGATCTATTTCCAAAAATCAGCCAATAAGAATTCATAAAATCACAATGGTCTAATTTACAGCTAATCCTTGGGATGATGCAGAAATGGGCAGTATTTTTTCCCATTGTGCATGGGGTTGCCATGAGTTGAAGGCCAACTCCACTAACAATGTTAACTGAGACCAGGGACACAGGAAGGAGCAGCAGCAGATGTAATGGGGGAAGATAGTGAGTTTGGTTTTGGAGATCCTGGATTTGAAGGGTCTGTACATAGTGCTGATAGGTGTCTCAGGGAGTGTGAAGCAGAGAAGTGGGTTCTGAGCACAGGAATTGGGTGGCCAATGGCATAAGTGATATTTGATGGTGGAGGGTGTGGACTAGAAAGAGAAGAAACCAAATGCAGAACCCTGGGCCACAATGGTGAGCATGATGCAAACAGTGGAGTCCCTGCATGATGCAAACAGTTAACACACTCGGCTGCTAACTGAAAGTTGAAGGTGCAAGTCTATGCAGAGGCACCTTCAAAAATAGGACTGGCATCTGCTTCTGAAAACTCAGCCATTGAAAACCCAATGGAGGCCATTTCTACTGACACACCTGGGGTCACCAGGAATTGAAGTCAACTCCATAGCAACTGGCTTTCGGTTGGTATGCAAGCAGTGCTTTGAGTGGTACCAGGTAGGAAGGTCAGTCAATCTTGGGACCTCTCTTTAAGTAGACAGGAGCTCAGTCCAACCTGGTCTTTGGACTCCAAGGGTCACTTTTTTGTTGTTGTTAAATACTCTGTCAAAATTTCAATTGCCACCTGTTCATCTCTGCTCAGCAATGCAAAAAAAGGTTGCCTAGAGCAAAAAGTGGTATTTTTTTCTTTTTAGAAATAACTTGCACTAAATTTGGGGCTTAATGAAGAATATTGGTCCTAACACGTAGCTGAGCACCCCTGTTGGTACAGAGGTTAAAATACTCAGCTGCCAACGAAGGGTTGGCAGTTCAAACCCTTCAGCAAGCCTGCAGGAGAAAATTGTGGCAGTCTGCTTCTGTTAAGGTGCAGTCTTGGACATTCTAGGGGGCAGGTCTACTCTGTTCTTTAGGGTCTCTAAGAGTCAGAACCAATTCAACAGCAATGGGTTTTGGTAATATGTAGCTCCTTGCTATTGTTTGCCGATACTTTTGTCTGGAGGAAAAGAATCTTCTTTCGCTGTGCTTGGGAGCTCCATCACAGGATGGCATTGGAGCCATTTGTGGGATATTCAAGTAGTTCATGATTCTGAGCCAAAGCACAAGTAGAAAACTAAGGAAAGTGGGAAAAGCCTGATCCTCTTCCTTCCAGCTGGTCAAGGTTCTACTTACCAAAATCTGCTGGGTTGTGGTAGGTTGGGCAGTTCAGGCCTAAATCCCTCAGGTAAGGAACAAGATTGGAGACTTTCCCCCGGTACACACACTGTCCTTGACTGAGGACGTAAAGCTGGAATAAAATGAGAGGGAAAGCATCAGCCCCTGTCTCCCTCCACAAAGCAAAAGGAACTCAATCTCTCTACCCCTCGTGTTCTGTCTATCTCTATCTCTCTCGCCATCATGCTTACTAACTCTCTCCCTCTCTCTTTCTGCCTCTTTCACTCTTTTAGTATCTCTTAATCTCTCTCCTTAACAACAACAACAACAACAATCTCTCTCCATGTCTTTCCCTATCTGTCTCACTCTCACTTTTTCTTCCTTATTAGAGTTTAAATTATTCTCAAGTACTCTGTAAAAGTTCACAGGGAGATCCACACTAAGACAGGGTACACTCAAGACGTTATGTGGCCAGGGGTCATATTAATTACATTGCTTGCTTTTTCTTTTCTTTTTTTTTTTTTTGTCACTAATCACCTGCTAAAGAGCCCTGGTAAGTGGTTAAGCTCTCAGCTGCTACCCAAAAGATTGGTGGTTCAAGCCTCATCTGCAGGAGAAAAATGAGGCAGTCGGCTTCCATAAAGATTGTTGTCGTTGCTCAGTGCCACTGAGTAGGTTCTGACACATAGCGACCTTGTATAGGGTCTGAGGTTGTACATCTTTGTGGGTTGTACATCTTTGTGTGAGCAAAAAGTCTTATCTTTCTTCTGTGGAGCTGCTGGTGGACTCAAACAGCCAGTGCTTATCATACAGAGCTACTGCATAGCCTTGGAAACCCTATGGCAAAGCCCTGGCTTGTCTATAGTGTCTCAGTGAGTCAGAACTGGCTTAATGGCACTCAACAACAATAATAAACACCTGCTTAGGAAAGATTTTGAAACTATACACCATTTCATCTCTTAGGATTTGTTTTTGGTTTATAATAATCAAACCATATTATTTATAAAATGCAGCCTGTTGCATAAGTATCATTACCTGTCACTTTTCTATAAAGCAGGTATCTCCCCATTTTAGCAGGTGAGGAGGAAATGAAGTCTCCGCAATGTTAGTGACCTGCCCCAGATCCTCTGGCCACCAGCAGTGGGGATAGAAGACACCACCCAGTTTCTCCTATTCCCCAACTACCTTACTTATGGTTCTTAAGTGCAATAAAACATCACACCAAGACCACTGAAAAAAAATGGCAAAAACCCACAGGAAATCACTCAGGGCAGTAGGTACCCAGGATTTGCTTTTACTTAGCCTAATTAGAAAAAAAAAAAAAAAAATCAGTTGCCACTGAGACTCACCTACTAACCAAAAGGTTGGCAGCTTGTGACCACCCAGAGGTGTCTCACAAGAAGGGCCTGGTGATCTACTTTTATTTAAAAAAAAATCAGTCATGAAAACCCTCTGGAGCCCATTTTGACATAGAAGGGGTCAATAAGAGTAGGGGTCTCAACTGGATGGCAACTGTTTGTTTGTATGTTTTCCTGGATTGAGCAGCCCAGGATGGGTGGGGTCAGGGTGCCATACCTGGTCAAACAATTCAAAGAGCTTGGCACTGGGCTGATGGATGGTGCAGATGATTGAGCGCCCTCCTTGAGCTAGTCCTTTCATCAGGGAGACCACTTGGAAGCAGGAGGCGCTGTCGAGGCCGCTGCAAGTCAAGAGCACTGTGAGACCCAGAGGGCAGCAGGCCACGCCCACTGGCCCAGGAGGGTTTGGGAGGGAGACCTGCAGCAGCTGCACTAGCCCCTGCTCAATGCTCCCAGCAGGACTATGCATAAGGTATTAAAAGCCTGCAGTTGTTGCCAGAGGGACCCAGGATGGAAATGGTGGGGAGCCCCATTTGTCCTGGCAGAAGGGACCTCAGCTCTGTCCCAGCAGGTGTCTTGGCCTCCCTGGTGATCAAGCAGTCTGGCCGTCATGGGTCCCTGCCCCACAGAGGGCTGGGGTAGGGAGGGTATCTCTCAGCTCAGCTGCAAGCTGGAGCTTTCTCCAGTGAGGCCCTCCAATGCAGTGAGCACAGAGTGTGGAGTCCTGGGCTCACTGTGGGTTTTCGCTGGGGCCTGGGGTGCCCTGATACCACTCCTCTGTCTCCCCCAGCATCTCCTGCCCCCCTCCTGCTCTGTACCCTCCATTCCCCGTGACAGATGATGTGACCAAGTGTGTGGCAGGCAGTGCCTCAGAGCCCATGCCTCCCACGCCTGCGGCACCCATGTTCTGCCCAAAAGATGTTATTTTAAGGGCTTACTGCAGCAGGCTCCTGTTCTAAAATATCTTTATAGGACTATCTTAGTCCCACCCACTGTGGGCTGGGCACTGTGCAAGGCCATGGGGCACCCAAGTGAGCTTTTTAAAGTACAAAAGCCCCAGTACAGAAAGCCTCGATTTGGCAGGAGTGGGAGAGTGGGCACAAACTGGGCAATAAGGAGACTAGTTGGAAGTGGTCAAGAGTGGTCCCTGTTTGGACGTCCTGCACTTGCTGCAAAGGACAAGTAAATCAGACACAATAAGAAACAGATGCAACTCAATTAGTGCTCAAGGCTGTCAGAGCCACAGTCCTTAAGCAGCACCCCAGTAGATGCCCACAGGCTCCTCAGAAATACAGGGCTGGGCTCAGGTAGCACAGAGAGTGCAGGTGAGCCAGGTGAGACCACAGAGGTCTTCCTTCCGGCTTTTCTAAGCCCCTAAGAGTCCTGAGGTGGTGCTATAGGATAAGCACTGGACTGCTAACCACAAGGTCTGCAGTTCAAACCCACCAGCTGCTTTTCGGAAATCCTATACAGGGTGGCTATGAGTCAGACCAACTGGATGGCACTTAACAACAATATGCTGGGGAACATGGTGGGTGTCCAGGTATGTCAGGACCCTGTGCTCCCAGTATACATCTGAGCCCAGGGCCCCCTCTCCAGGGCACTGTAGGCACCAGACCTCAGGGTGGTCATGCTACAGGGAATGTTTCCTCATAGCAGAGTTGTGCAATCTGGCACATTAACCCACAGTGCCAGTGGCTTCCCCCAAACCTCCCCACACACAGAAAGCTGAGGACTTGATGTCTCTCTAGTCAAAGGGAGGGAGGTGGAAATTGCCAGTTGGTTCTATGACCCCAGAACAGGAGCAGAAATGAGGGCGGCAGCAGAACACACCGCCCCCTGGAAAACCACATGATGGAGATTAGTGTTAGGGAACCCCTAGAAACTGCCGAGTTGGGGAACCACCAAGCTGTAGGTCATAGCCCTTCCCAGATACTCCTCTGTACTGACTCACCTGGTTGGCTCATCAAAGAACATGACGGGTGGGTTGTTGACCAGCTCCAGCGCAATGGCCAGGCGCTTCCGCTGACCACCCGAGAGGCTGCCCGTCCGTGTGTTCGCACAGGCCAGCAGGCCCAGCGCCGTCAGGATCTCCTTGACCTGTTGGAGCAATGTAACCAGGGTTGTCATGAGGACCTCCCGTCCAACTCATCCCTGCAAGGGCCTGGAGGGAGAGATTGCTTGCCGTCTTCCAGCTGAGGGACTCCTCATCTTGTTGTTACACAGATGCACAAATGGGGGTCCAAACAGCTGCCCCTTACCAAGTCACCTGTCACAGTGCTGGAGCCAGCCCCTCCTAGGTGTGAGTACTTGCTCCGCTAGTGACTAGGCACGGCCCTTCAGTTCTAAGTCTAGGAGCAAGCACGGAGAAGGTTCAATAAACACTGACTCTGTTGTTCACTGCCATTCACTTGATTCTAACTCAGGATGAACCCATGTGTGCAGAGTAGAACTTTGCTCCATATAGGATTTTTCAAGATTGTGATCTTTCAGAAGCACATCACCAGACCTTTCTTCCAAGGTGCTCTTCTGGATAGGTTTGACCTGCCAACCTTTCAGCCAGTAGTCAAGTGCATAATTGTTTGCACCACTCAAGGATCCAAATATCTGCTGGGTGGATGGATTCATGGATCAATAAGCAGGCGGGTGATCAGGTTCTGATCAGCTCAAAGGGGGTCATGATAGTATCACAGCAAGCATTCAACCCATGACAACTGTGAGTGATATTAATATTGCTCCTGCTAACAGAAGTCCTGACGTGGTGCTGTGGGATAATGTGCTGGAGGACCACAAGGTCGGTTTGAACTGCAAGGTCAGCAGTTCAAACTCATCAACCACTCCTTGGAAATACAGGATCACTATGCGTCAGAACCATCTTGATGGCAGTTAATAACAACACGATGTTGGATACGTTTCAGTGGCATTTCAGACTAAGGTGGGTTAGGAAGAAAGACTTGGCAATTCACTTTTGAAAATCAAGTCATGAAAAACAACTGGATCCTAAGCGATCATGACGATGGTATATAGCTGGGCAGCATTCTGTTCCACTGGGAGTGGGGTTGCCAAGATTCAGGGGTAGCTAACAACAGCAACAAATGGGGAGTGTGTGAAAGGCGGTCCTGTGGACACAAAGTACATGTGAGGCCTCTCAGGAGAAGGAAAAGGGGCCACTTTGCATGGCAAGCAGGCTTTGAAGCTGACTTTATAAGAGTACCTGATTAAAGCAGTCATACACTTCCCCCAGCTGTCCACAAGTGCTACCCGCTACTGGGAAGCAGGGTGGACGAGCCCTCCCAGTCTGCTCTGATGAGTGATCCTATCCGGGATGCGTGCTGGAAAGGCAAGGTCAACATACTTCCATGCAGGCTGTGGGTCGTATCAGCAGCCGGGCTCAGAGTTCCCCGGCACCTCCTCTTCAGCATGCCCACAGAAAGGTGGGGCCGGTCAGGACTTCACCCCCACCCTCCCAGGGGGCAGTCCTCCTCAGGGCTCCAGCCCCATCCTTGTTCCTGGCAGGGCAGCCCTGTGGCAGCGGCCCCTAGTGGCCACAGTGGGCAGATGCACCTGTGCACTGTCTGTCCAGGGAGATGAAGTAACCCAGAAGGAAGAGCTCACAAGGAAGAAAATTTCCACTCCAGCGTTTGAATTATGTATGTTCGGTCAGTACAAAATGCGGCTTTGGAAACAGTGCTGCTCAAAGGCCGTGAAGCAGATGGTGGCGTGGGCACTTGGGGTCAGAAGAAGCTGGGTTTCAATCCTGCTGCTGCCTCTCTCTTAATGCTTCCCTTCCCCCAACTCCACTGCTTTCTTCTACAACGTGTTATCTTCAAGTGACACAAACTCAGATAGAACTTCAGTAAGGTTCTTCTAAGAAAGGCTCATCAGATGGGGAGGGAGTAGGAGGGCTCTCTTCTGTCCTCTGTGCACTGGCTCGTCTGTGCAGACCATGACTGCTGGGTTCCCCAGAAAGAGGCTCATACTGTCCTCTTCAACATTGGCTGAAGTCACATGATGACTGCTCCAAGCTTGCAAGCTGGGACATTCCACAAAAATAGTGTACCTCTTTTCTCACCCACCATCCTTTGGACCCCCAAGTCAGACAAGGTTCAAGACCAACTCCAAATACTTTGAAGTTCCAGGTAGTGCAAACAGTTAACACACTTGGCTATTAACTGAAAGGCTGGGGTTCTATTTAACCCAGAAAGGCTTGACAATCTTCTGAAAATAAGTCATTGAAGACCCTATGTATTACAATGGTCTGATCCCATTGTGCATGAATGGTTGCCATGAATTGGTGGCTGGCTCAGTGGTGGCTGACAGTAACAACAGCAATAGGGCAGGAGCCCTGGGGTGCTACAAATAACCAATAAGCTCAACTGTTAATTGAAAGGTTAGAAGTTTGAGAGAAAGTCCTAGGATCTACTTATAAAAAAATCAACCACTGAAAGCCCGGTGGAGCACAGATCTATTCGCACACGCATGGAGTCGTCATGAACAAGGCGTTATAACTTATTGGCAATAGTTTTGTTTGGTTTGGTTCAATTCTTTCTACTTAGCCAGGCCCTCATGGTGGCTGAGGGTCTTGTGGCCTCACCCCCTTTGCCCTTGAGAGAGGGTACTGGAGATGGGGACCCCAACTTGTGTCCTTTACCACCAAAGCTCCTGCCCTTTTTCTTCAGCATTCTCTCAGAAAGAGATCTCCTTCTGAAACTCAGCCCAGGAAAACCCTATGGATCCTAACAGTCTGACCCACACATTAATGTGATGGCACAGGACTGGACAGTGCTTCACTCCCTCGTGCACTGATTTTCCTAAAAAACTAGTCAGAAAGAGCAAACAATGAGCTTATTTATTTTGGTATTTTCCCTAAATAAAGCACTCCAAGGCCTTTTTAGTCTGAGTCCACCCTGGCCCCCTCTGGCATGTTCCCTGGAAGCATGTCGGCAGCCTCAGACCAGCCTCTGAAGATCTGGCCCCTAATGAAGCCGCCTTCCTTTTCCAGGAGGTTGGAGGACACAGCCTGCTTTTCCAGGAAACAGGGAAGGCCACGGCCAACGCATTGCACCGCCTCCGAGAGCATTCCATTCTATTGTGTTTCCACAAGATATGAATGGCTATGAACCCAGGTATGCATAGGGGGCTGGAGGGAAATGAGTCAGGGCATGAAATCAGTACCTGTTGTATACCACATGCCCTACTGATGAGGGAGGCCGGACCCACACTTTTGTTGAGAAACAAAAGGGTCAGTGGATTATAGGGCTGCTCTAGCCCAGCCCAGACTGGGGGCTTCTGGTGAAAGATGTGTGCAGGACCAACTGTCACCTGTAGATCCCATAGGCCCAGCCTGATGTGCTATTCAGCCTAGAGAAGATGACCCTAAAAGGAGGTGTAAGGATCTCACCCTCGCAGAGACCTCACCACAGAGCAGGACTGGGGACCCTTACCCAGCCCATAATTTTACTCTTATAAACCTCACTGAGAACAGCACAAGACTTTCTTCAACCCTTTTTTTCTTAGGCCAGGCATACAGAGGCTAATCACAGTAGTGAGGGCGACCTGAGGGACCCCACCGTTGCCCCTTCAAGGAGATGGCCCCACTCCCACCATGGTGTCATCGTCTTTCTGTCCCTTCCCTTCTGGTCAAGCAGGCAGAGCAGGCTCTCATTGTCCACTGCCAGGACCCTCTTCAGATGAAGGGCTGCAAGCTGCACTCTGGAGGTGAGCAGCTTAGAGTCAGGAACAAAGCTCATATTACCGAAAGGGCAGAGGAGCTTGCTGTTGTGTCCCTCAGTACAGAAGGTCTGCTGAAAAGGTTCAGTGTTCCACCAGTCCTTTAACACTAGCAGCTCTGTCCTACCAGAGTGGCTTCTGTGTTGCTATGATGATACAGGAAGCTATGCCACCAGCATTTCAAATACCATCAGGGTCACTCATGGTGGACAGGTTTCAGTGGAGTTTCCAGACTGAGACAGACTAGGAGAAAGATCTGGAAATCTACTGCATAAAAGCAGTCAATGAAAATTCTATGGATCACAACTAAACACTGTCCAAAATAATGCTGGGAAATGAGTCCCAACGTTGGAAGACACTCCAAAGATACCATAGCCACAACAGTGGACTTCAGCTGACCAATGATCATGACCATAGCACAATGACAGGCAATGTTTCCTTCTATTGAGTGTTGATTGTCATGAGAGCTCACTAGGAGGCAACCAACAAGAAGTTGTATTTGACAAGGCTGAATGACGTAGGCCAGTGCTGCAGTGAAGCCCTACCGCAACCTACGTATGGACCACATATGACAAGCTCAAAGACGGTGAAGACATCATCTAATTCAGTTTTGCATCAGCTCCAAAAAGCAGCTAGAGTTGGTCTTACAGAGCATGACCGCCAGAAGCCCAGGGCTGGAGATGATTCTGCATATCAACAGAGTCCCCTCTGTGTTAGCAAGACCCTTGAGGACTTCTCTCACCTGCTCATCTCACATAGTGTGACCCCAACTGACTCTTCTCTGTTGTCACCCCATCCTTAGACAGAATGTCCTCTGCAGTTCCTTACCTCTTTCCTCCAGGCCATGGACCAGTGCCGTTTCTGCTATCTCTTCTGGAATCTATGTTTCCAATTACATCCATGCCATTGAATTCATACATACTTTGTTGACTGCAATCCCCATGTCATGGACTGTAATCTCCACAATGAAAACATCGCTTATCCCACTTCCTCCCAGTGTTTCCTGTTTCCATTCCTCCTTCTTTCCTGGTGGTGGTGGTGTGTCATGGAGTCGGTTCCGACTCATAGCGACCCTGCATAGGGTTTCTGAGGCTGTAAATCTTTACGGGAGCACAAAGCCTCATTTTTCTCCTGCAGAGCAGCTGGTAGTTTTGAACTGCTGACCTTGAGGTTAGCAGTCTGACTTATAACCACCCTTCTCAACTTTGTCTTTGAGTAAATGCTGCCCTTCTGATCTCAAATAGTTCATCAGTCTAAGGCATGGGCACATCACTAGTGTCATTGTTCCCCTTGGGAAGACCAAGCCCCGATACTTTCAATCTCCTCGTATGCATGTGAAAGTTGGATAATGAATAGGAAAGACCGTAGAAGAACTGAGGCATTTGAGCTATGGCACTGGTGAAGAAAACTAAAAGTACCATAGACCACCAGAAGAACAAACAAATCGGTGTTGGAAAAAGTACAGCCAGAACGTGCTTTAGAAATGAGGATGGTGAGGCTTCGTCTCTCATAGTTCGGACACGTAATCAGGAGGGACCAGTCCCTGGAGAAGGACATCATGCTTGGTATAAAGTGGAGGGTCAGAAAACAAGAGGAAGATTCCCAAGGAGATGGACTGACACAGTGGCAGCAACAATGGGCTCACACAGAACACCAACTGTGAGGATGGCACAGGACCGGGCAGTGCTTCCTTCTGTTTTACACAGGTTCACTATGAGTTAGAACCGATTTGATGGCACCTAACAACAATAACCTTGTGACTAAAGCTTAGGTACATGTTATCCTTTGTGATCTAAACTCGTCTTCTATGACTTGGTATAATAAATACTCTTGGGTGCAACTGTCGGGAGGGCTTAGAAGTGTTTGTGTGCATTGTATCCACGTATTGAAGGTGCACTGTTTAGAAAAGATTCATCAAAGAAAGCAGTCTTCCTTCTCCTTTAACTTCTAGTCATGAGACCTTTACACTTCAGTCAAATGATGGAAATGCATGTGACTTCAGTTACCACATCTCGTTGTTTTGTTTTCCACTATTCTGGTGTGGCACTGTGGGATAATGCAATGACCACAAGGTTGTTTGAACCTCAGGGTCGACAGTTCAAACTTCCTAGCTGCTCCTAAGAAATCCTATATAAGGTCGCTGTGAGTCAGAACTGACCTGATGACACTTGACAACAACAATACATTTTAAGGAGTCCCTCGTGGGGAAACCAGTTAAGTTCTTGACTTTTGTCAATTTGAGTTCATCCAGAGTTACCTCAGAAGACAGGCCTGGCAGTCTACTGCTAAATGGCCGGTTTTGGAAACCCTACAGAGCACAGTTCTACATAAACACATAGGTCGTCATGAGTCAGAATTGACTCGACAAACAGGATGACATTTGACTCTTTCCCACTTAAAACACAGAAGTTCCATGTGAAACATCTTTGGTAGCAACAAGAATGACTTTACTCCTCACATTTCACATTTCAACTGTCCCCTACAAATGACAAGTGCTGAATCAGAAGTGATTTGAAGGGAGTGGGGTGAGGCAACACGAGGAGAATAAGGAGGGAGAGCAAGAAACCCACAGGTAGTCCATTTGTCTCACGGTGGTTTAATTTACTTTATATTATTATATGTGTTGTAGGATCAGCAGTTCAAACCCAACAGCTGTTCCTTGGAAACCCTATTCAGGGTCTCTATGAGTCAGAAGCAACTCGACACCACTTAATGAACAATAGTATGCGTGATGTAAGGGCATGAATGCAATATATGGATTATTCTGACTGTTTCTTTAGCATATTGAATGGTATTCTATTAAACATTCCATTTTACATCAAAACATAAGGAGCCAAGTGGTACCATTAGTATTAATATTGTAAATACTATGCTTTTGGTTACGATCCTCTAAGGGCATAAAAAGGTAAATGTAATATTACTATATAAGTGGAATCTCACCAAATTCTGCCCTTAAAATTACCCTAGCATTTGCCACCGAGGGGTCTATTGTCAACCCACAACACCAGGGAGAGAATGAAAGTCAAGTTTTTGTTCTAACCAGTTGCTGTGGCTTGGATTCCAACTCATATTGTCAGAGTAGAACTGTACTCCATAGAGGGTTCTAGGCTGTGCTCTTTCAGAAACAGATTGCCAGGCATTTCTTCTGAGGGGTCTCAGGATGGACCTGAATTTCTACCTTTTGCCCAGAGGTAGACTCAGAAGAAAGGTCTGGAGATCGTCTTCCAAAATAACCATCACAATTCAACTGTGATACAAGTGGGGTCGCCAAGAGTCAGTCAACTCAACAGGGACTGGTTCCCTAAGGAAGGAATCATTAAAACAAAAACAAAAACAAAACCAGCAGTGAAAGGAGTTAGAAGATCCCAGTCATCATGGAAAATTGTTTTATTTTTTTCAAGTTTGGTTAATAACATGTAAGGAACAAATTTCTTTTTACCAGTGTGGGTGGGTAGAGGGTGGTTATTTTTAAATGACTGACTAAGCACCATCGCTGTTAGTATTTTATAAAACACCAATTTAAACTAAAGTGTTTTACACACAGAAAGAAGTTGAGCCCTTGCTATAACCCTGATGTTGGTTCTTCTGGCCACCTAGGCTTTCAGACAGCTGTCCTGTCACACCCTGACTACTCTTGTATCATAGCTCCTGGTTCTGAGAATCAGACAGGTGACTCTCTCGGGAACCCCCTTGCTTGGTCACAACCCATGCAGAAATGTCACCACCTCCCAAGCCCAGAAAGCTGTGAAATGTGAAAATACACCAACAACCAGAAACTCAGCAAGCCTTCCTGAGCATGTTTCCCAAATGAATTCCACACACTTTCTGGACCATGGGTGCAAACAGTTAGTATAGTTCAGCTATTATCTATAGTTGGCAGTTCAAATCCATCCAGAAGTGCTTTGGAAGAAAGGTCTGGCAATCTATTTCTAAAAGGTCTCAGTCTTGAAAACCCTATGCAGCGTGGCTTTACTCGGACACACCTGGAGTTACCGTGAGTCAGTCAACTTGCTGGCAACTGTTTGTTTTGTTTTGATAGTTCATGGCAATATTCTTGTCTTCCTCCCTGTAGACCCACCTGGCCAATGCACACACCTCATGCTTAACCACTACTCATCTGTGAGTGGAGCTTCCAGACTAACACAGAGTAGGAAGAAAGACCTGGCAATCTACTTCTGGGAAGCAGTAAGTGAAACCCCTATGGAGCATAATGTCTAAGTCACAACAAACCACAGAGATGCACAGAACTGGGCAGTACTTCTTTCTGGTGTGTAGGGGGTCACCATGAGCAAGGACTGATTCAATAGCAGTTAGTAACAACAAAATACCATGGACCATTTGTAACCCCAACACATTGCCATACTCACCATCTCTCTTCGGCCTTCATCCTTCTCTTGAAGCTTCAAATGTGCAGACACCTGCAGGAGACAAGGACAGCAGTGTGGGGGCTGAGGGGTTGGCTCCAGCGGGACCACAGGAGCTACTCGATGAAGGTCTCTTAGAAACCTCACAGGGCCGCACTCTGAGCCCTGGACCCCAGAGGCTTTCTGGGTTACCTGGACAATTGAAGAAAATCTGGGGAAGTCTTGGCTTCCTGCTTCCCTTGGCTTAAGAAGGCTGGGCCAGAGGAGAGTACAGAATGCCTTGGATGCTTCCGGTTATTTCAGAGAAATTCTCAGCTATGCCAGTAAGGGACACTGAATGTGGGCAGTTCAGAGATAAGGACTGGTCAGAGTTGAAGGCTTGAAGACCTGCTACAGCTAGCAGTTAAGCTATTGGTAGTTGAAACAGTCTGTAGTGGGAATATTGATAGGATAGAAATTACAAGATGCTAGAAGAGACCTCTTTAGAATGTTTAAAAACAAAGATGTCAGTTTGAGGACTAAGGTGCACCTGATCCAAGCCACGGTATTTCCAATTGTCTCATATACATTTGAAAGTTGGACAACGAATAAGGAAGACCATAGAAGAACCAATGAATTTGAATTATGATGTTGACAAAGAATACTGAAAGTACCAAAGATTGCCAGAAGAGCAAACAAATCTATGTTGGAAGAAGTACAGCTAGAATGTTCCTTAGAAGCCAGGATGGCCAGACTTCTCAAGTACTTTGGACAGGTTATTGGGAAAGACCAGTCCCTGAAGAAGGACATCATGTTTAATAACGTAGATGGTCAGCCAAAAAGAGGAAGCCCCCAGGAGATGGATTGACACAGAGGCAGCAGCAAAGGGCTCTAATGTAACAACAACTGTGAGTATGGTATAGGACCAGGCACTGTTGAGAATAGGGGTTTTATTGAACACTGAGTCGCTATGAGTCGGAACCAACTCAACAACACCTAACACGTCCACCACATATCAGGGCACTTTTGTCTTTAGTTTTGAGGTCTTATTTATCAGTACACCACTGAGCCCCTGACGTGGCACTGTAAAACCTGTGGTTTTACAGGTCTTCAGTAGATTCATCATGCCTGGTAGATCGGCCTGAGTTTGTTCTACCAGCTGCTGTGGCCTTGGAGAAATGCTGAGCCTTTGTTTCCTCACCAGCACAAGGAGGAAGTTAAGACATATCAGCCTCACAAGTTAATGAAGCTGCTGTAGACAACAAACAGAGGCTCTGAGAAGACAAGGTGAGCAGCGAGGAAGTCAGGCTGCTAGACCCAGCCAGGACCAGGCCTTCACCAGCTGGGAGGGGACAGCCAGCTGCAATGTGACACTAGTTGTCACATCTAGTGACACATAAACTAGCTGTCACGTCTAATGACACATAGAACATAAAATGGCACACTCGTGTCTGATAGGTGGCTGGGATTCCAGCCACTCTGTTCCTACACATGTGTGGCAGTGCTTTGAGAAGTAAACAGCACTGTAGGCTCAAGTTAAAAATCCTATTCTCAAACTCCAGATTCAATTTCATTTCGTTTTGAAAACCACTGTTCTTCACACAGCAGAGTCTCGTGACATGGTTAAGAGGAAGGAGATGAAAATAGAAGTCACCCATTTTGTCTGCAAATGAAGACAGTGACTGAGCTGGGAATCAAAGCCACGCATCTCAACAAGGAACCATGTGCTTGATTCATTAAATCACTGAGAACCCACAATGAAGCAGAAATTCAGGAATCAATCCAGTATGTGGAAAGCTTGCATTGATTAAATGCATAGAACAGGAAACATCAGGGTAAAGGAAACTTCCCAAGAGATGGTTCCACCTAGTTTACCTGAAAACTTCTCCAAACGTCCCCTGACCCCATGACAGTGGCCATTAGGAGGCTAAACAATTCGTCTGTACAGCGCACATGCCTGCCTAGGGAGGCCGAGTCTTGTGAGGAGGTATCTCCTTACTCAGTACTGGGGAAAGATGAATGAGAACAACCCTGCAGGGACCTCCCTTTCTGGTTCCTCACAAAGCAGGTTAGGGAGCAGATCATATATCTGAAAAATTAACCTGCTTTTCTGTACTGAGCTCACAATCCCTTGGAATCGCCTTTCAGATAACATGCTGTGCAGCTGCCAGGCTCTGACACCGCCAGACAGGAATTCTGCCAAAATCAAAGCCAAGAACTCAGGGTACATCCTGGCAAGTTGGGCAAACCAAGTCAGATACCGATCTTCTAACCAAGGGGCAGAGCAGACCAGCCTGAGACTGTCACATCATACACCCGATGGTCCTGGAAGCTGGGGACTCTCTTACACAGTGCACAAGGGCAAAGTAGAGAAACAAGCAGGCCCACCTCACCCCATGCCTAAACAACCCATGATACGCAAGCAGACTTTCACTGTTCACTCTTAGGTCAGTGTGGTCCAAGTCAGTATGAGACTGACCTTTTAAAAACATGGCTCAGGAAGCCCAAGGTCATAGAGAGCACTTGGCTGGGTCCTAGTCTGTTCAGCGAGCACAACCAAGCTGTTCCATAAATTTCTGGTATAGGAGCCACCTGTACACTTCTGTGACCCCAAAAGGTGAAGTCATTTTTAAACTCTCACAACTGCTGGACTCATTCCCAGAGGACTTAAGTGAAGATGCTACAGGGCACCTTATTAGGAGTTAAAAGAAACCGAGACTGAATTGTAATAGCAACGAGAATTGCCTGAGCACTGACTGTATACTGGGAGTCCAGCTCTGTGTTAACTGCGTTTCCCCATTCAATATTCAAGTCAGCCTGGCATGGTACTGCCCAGGGAGAGACTGAAGATGTGAGCCGTAAAGCAATTGCCTGGCAAGGAAGTTAAAGCTTAGCAGTTGAAAGTAACACTTTGAAGTCTGAGGGACCTGCCTCTGAGCCCTACTGTAGACATCAGCAGCTGCAAGACTTTGAGCTAATGGCTTACTTCTGGGGCTCCACTTCTACTCTGCTTTCAGAGAGAATGACAGCTCTCCGCAGAGTGAGTGTGAAGGTTGTATAGAGCTCTGTGCATGCAGGGCCTGGGTCTAGCAGGGTTTGGCAAAAGCTGGATTCATTTCCCCATGGGGCAGATGGGCTAGTTGGTGAATAAGACCCTTGAAACCCTATCTAAGGCACCATGTTCTCTGGGATTTGGCCTCAAAGTCACAGAACAACAAAAGAAACTCCCTTTGGTTAACTGGGGGAATAGGATTGTGGTTCACCGGAAAAATGAACAGCCCTCCTTAAAAACTTGACCACAAGTTTGTCATCCCAGGACTAGTAGAATGCAGAGTCTTGGCGTTTATTCTCAACGAAGCTGTCCCAATAGCATGCCTCTCTGGTAATCAGAACTCTGCTGGGAGAAGGGCTGCTGACTAGTTGGAGGTTGCCTGACCAAGCCACCAGCCCATGTGTTATTGGGTACTTGCCATGTTTCTGTCTAATGTGAAGGCAAGAGGTGAGTGACAAGTGGCTAGACCAGCAGGTTGGTGAGGGAACTCACCATCATGGCCTCTTGAACAGTGAGGTGCGGCAGCAGCATGTCATCCTGCATGATGTAGCAGGACACCTTCCGGAAGCAGCGTAGGTCCCGAGGCATGCCGTTGATGAGGACAGCACCTTTCATGCCAGTCTCCCTACAGGATAACAAGAGAGGCATCAGTTCCCAGCAGCCAGCAACTCCTGCTCCTCCTCCCCTCCCCCTTCCTCCCAGCATCTTCCCAGCTGAACCATCTGCCACAGAAACACTGTGGGGCCAAAGGGGATGGGAAACCTGCAAACAGAAGCCCAGCAACCCAGAGAAAATGCCCAGCAGGGGAAAGGGAAGCCAAGTACATGGGCTCCCCTGGGATGGTCTATTTATAGCAAGTGGTAGCGGCTGTGTCTTCTTTGCCTACCACACAAACAACAGAGAGATTTGTGGATGCGCCACACACACAGTCACGAAGTGGGCTGTACACTGGCTGGCTTTGCGAGGGTTTTTAAGATTAGCTTCTAAGCAATGACCTCAAAGGCCAAAGACTTCTGCAGCCGGGAGGCGTGGTCAGTATGTCAGAGCCTATTTCTGAGGACCCCATTAAGACACTGACAGGGAAGGAGCACCCAGCTTGATCCTCATGCTAAGGTGACTCCGAGAGAAGAGGGCCTGGGTTCTGGTCCAGCTCGGTCAAGCACGATCCTTCTCCACCAGGGGAGACTGTTCTCTTGAATCACAGTGCACATGTTTGAAACATCCCATGTGGAAATGTGAAGGTGGAAGGGACATGGTCTTACCAGCCATACTCGATCATTCATTCACTCATTCAAAGACCCTTTACTGAGCACCAGTTCTTCTGGGTCTGGCAACCTCACCTTGGGAAGTGGCAGACGAGTTATCCTGTCTACCCTCATCGCTTGCTAAGGACTCACCTTTTCCAGTCCTGTCTCCCTACTGAGAGCAGCAGTGTATAAGAGTGATGAAGACCAATGAATGAAATTACATTCTTGTTTACCCCATCATCCACACCATCACTGAATGAACTGGGCCTGTGGGTTGGACCCTAGGGAACAGGCTGAGGTCCAGGGCTTGCCGCTGGGTACCAGGCAGGCAAGGGCCAATTATCCCTAGACTACTGTCTGGAGTGCTGGATACTCAAGCACAATTTAGGTGGCCCCGTGGCTCTGGCCATGTACTGGAAAACGCTGCTCCTCAGAAAATACTCTACTCTCCTATGCATTCTCTCGAGCCTGGGTAGTGGGAACTTGACTTTAACTTTTAGAGGTGTAGGCAACAGGAAGTAAATTGCCTTAAGTGAAGTGTTTTGCTTTTGTTTTTTTCTAAATCCTAATTTCTAGCATTATGAACTAATTTAAAAGTCCTAGGTTAGCAAGTTCAAACCCACCAAACTCTCTGGAAACCTTTTACAGGGTAGCTATAAGTCGTAACCAACTCAAAGGCATTTAACAACAACCACCAAGGAAACGGGTGATAGTTGCCTTTTTTTCTTTTTCCAGTAAATTTCTAATTATTGTATACTATTTGCTAAAGATACCAATGATAAATCATAATAACTTAAAAGAGCTGGCACAAGAGAGTTGTCTTCTTCTTTGGGTCATGTTTTTATGTTTGTTTATTTTTTTAACACTTCTATAGATTGTTTTCTAACCACTCACAACAAATCACATTGGGCATTACATTGGACAGCGTGGTTTCCCAAACACTAAACAACTAACATCATTAGAGGCAACAGGTTCAGGAACTCTGGGTCAACAGGTCTCCTTATTCTCTTCTGAAAACACTCTGTCTTGTTCTTCAACCTTCATTAATACTTGTTCTCTTAGAATCTCTTCTCCTCAACCTTGGCCTTCCTACTTCTTCTGGTCCCATAAGAAAGACCTGGCCAAAGGCTACTGAGCTCCCACAGGGCAGCACCCTCCATCTGTTCTGAAGAAAGCACTCCTTCTCCAGCCATCATGCAGCAAACTTATCAACAACCATAAAGATGATACAGGACCTGGCAGTGTTTCATTCTGTTCTAAATAACATAAGGTCGCTCTGAATCAGAGCTGACTCAACTACAGTAATCAACAACAACCTTGCAACACATTCAGTGTTATTCTCTTCCCTGGGCTGTTTCCATCACAGATCTCACAGCTCCTTGAAGATACAAATTGCACCTCTTGCTGTGCTAGAGCCATAGTGAACCCTAAGAAGTTATCTCCTATAGACAACAAAAACACTCCCAAGGGACAGATTGAGGTAGCTTCACTGTCCCTCCCAGCCAACACAGCTGAGCAAGAACCTTGCTTTCCTGTCAGTTTGCTCACCTGTATCCAGCCAGAATGTTCATGAGCGTAGATTTTCCAGCCCCAGAAGGGCCCATGATGGCCACCAGTTCACCACTGTTGAATTTTCCAGAAATTCCCTTCAGAAGGGTCTTGTATCCTATAAAAAGCAAATCATTCCAATTTTGCAACAATCACAGGATTCACTTTATCTAACGCCTGTATACTTGACTGCAGATCTGTGGCATAAGGCAGTATTTCCCATGCCACATTTTAGAATGCTGGTTAGTAGATAAGAAAATAGACTACACATATAGCTTTTAAAAATGTCTTTATGTACTTTCTTAATTGCATTTCATGAATTATAATGACAATACACCCACTCCTCACTTATCAACACAGTTAGATCCCAAAGGCCAGATTGTTATGCAAAAAGTTGACCTTAAGGGAAACTTCTAAGCCCAAAAGCTCCTTAGGCTCCCAGAGTAATTTCAGAGGTGGGCTGCAGGGCTGCTCCCTCCCCTGCATCAGAGCTCTGTGCCATTCCAAAGCACAGGCAGAACTGATGGGGTCAGGATTTGCAGACAGGCGGAGACCTGCCCTACCAGGGCCCAAGTGAAGTTCTTGGTCTCCAAGGAAATGTCCACCTACAGGGGACCACCGGCTGATGCCAGCACTCCCAAGCATGCAAACGGTGGACCTTAGGGTCTGCAGTCAAGTGACTGTCATGAATCCTGACTGTCCCCCTTTGCAGCCTTCTCATGGACTGTGAACCTGAAGTGGCAGCTAACTCCACCACCAGCTTGTGGGCCTGGCCAGGATTCAGAGAGGCCAGTTAGAATGAGAACTGGATAATGCCTGAGACCCCAGTGGCCTCCTTTTTTTCTCTCTCTGTTTTAATTTTATTTGCATCCAAGACTGGGAAGAAGGGTGGGATGAGAAAGACTGATGACTTGGGGTTCCAAAGGAAGGCACTCTCTCATTTAAAAACACATGAATCCTTACCTGGCTTTAAGGTAATAGAAATAGATTTTTTTTACTATTATTGCAAATGTGAAATGTCAGATCAAGAGATAATCCATAAATGAAGAAGAGTGTGTAGTGGGTTACTCATTGGGCTGCTAACTGCAGGAGTTACACACATAATGGTTGAGAGTTTGCAGAGCATTTTTGCATATATTTTTGAATGGGCAAGGGCTCTACCATGCCCATTTGGAATGAAGGCGTGACTGTCCAGTCATCTATCAGTTTGTTGCATTGTGGTGGTTTGTATGTTGCTGTGCTGCTGGAAGCTATGCCACCCATATATCAAACACCAGCAGGGTCACCTACGGAGGCCAGATTTCAGTGAAGCTTCTACATCCAAAATTGAGTCAATGGAATACAACAGAACCATGTCTGATACAGTGCTGGTAGGTGAGCCCTCAAGATTGGAATATACACTGGCCACAAGAGTCTTCAACATACCAACAATCATGAAGTTGGTGCAGGATTGGGCAACATGTTGTTCCCTTGTATATAAGGTCACCAATTCTCAGAGCTGACCCAATGGTAACTAACAACAATGGCTACCCAGAAAGGCTGGGTGTCTTTACAAGGCCCAGCAGCCAGTATGAGGGGGTCCTAGCCCCACAGCCTACCACTGCCCAGCTCACTGCTTCCCCTACCGTGGCAAATACATACATTGCAAACATATTCCTAAAAGAGTTTTATCATTTAGCCACATCAAATTGCTTTGGGATTTCTGCCAAGTCTCCATTTTAGAACATTGTAAAAGAAAAAAAAAAAAAAGGTCACATCCCCCCACAAAAGGAAAGCCAGTTATTATCTTTCCCAAGTAAACTGTTTAAATGTGCAATAAAGAATCAAATGGAAACAAAGTAGGTATAGAAGAGTCCCTGAATTGTGAAAATGGTTAACACATTTGGCTGCTCCCCAAAAGGTTAGAGACTTGAGTCCACCTCAGAAAAAAATGCCAGGCAATCTACTTCCTGAAACTCTACCACTGAAAATGCCATGGAGCACAGTTCTCCTCTGACACACAGAGCTTCACCGTGAGTCAGAGTCAACTAGATGGCAATCAGTTTGATTCAAAGATAAGGACTCCTAATTAAGAAACATCTCTCAATGCAGCATCATATCAAAAAGTATCCCTGGGTGATCAAGAATCATGTGAATATAACATTTAAGTTCCCAGACATAATGTTCAAAGGGATCTAACAGGAAAAGAGATTATCAGGCTACTTTACAAATTCCTTTAGTTTAGACTTTCTCCCTAATCAATAGTTGGCCCCTCCCTGACACTGGCCTAGGATCTGAGGAGTTCTCTACCTGTCATCCTCCCTTCCACAGATGGGGACACCTGGACATTCCAAGCTGTCACCAAGTGCCTCCTTAATTTGGACAGGGAGTCCCTGAGGCCTTGTTTAAGTGAAGCAGAGACAAGCGGAAGCAAAAAGCAGGAAGCTGGCTCTCTGAGATTCAGACTCATTACTGAGAGCGATTGCTACCCAGGGGAGGGTGGAGAGAGTGGTGCAGAGGGGCAAGAGGCAGTGGAGACAATGAAGATCAGTCTAGGGGAGAAACTCCAAACTGCAAATGAATCTGATTCCTGGGGCAGGATGTGGATGCCAGAGGTTACCAAACACAGGACATGAGAAGACATGAGTGAGCCAAAGAAAACTAGTCCAGAGGACAGGACTGAGAGCCCCCAAGTCCTCCATCCATCCAGGACTGTGTCTGCCCTCAACAGACAGACAGACACGAGACTCATAGGTAGCAGAGGCCATTCCTTAATACTGCCATGCTCCCCCAGCAGGGCAGTCTCCTTCTGATGGAGCTCTGGGCCTTGGGAGCAGGCATGTTGGGGACTCCGGCCTCCTGAGAGCCTGTATGACATCACCAAGGGAGCATAATACTCCAGGCGCTACTCATTATGGGCCCACTGCCGACTCAATCAGAGCCAGGTTACTCCCGAGCAAATCCTTTCATGAGCTGTTCTCTCTGGAAGTTCAAAGATGACCCCAGGCTGACCCCATCACCAGAGTTGCCTGAAGACACAGAAGGTGGCTGAAGTGACAACTGAGCCCTTGGGCCCCAAGCATAGTCTACATACCGGGGTCATGAAGCCCCTGAGGGTAGCCTCCTCACACCAACTTGGGGTTCTGGAAGGTTCTTTCTTTCCCATGGACACTTCTCAGACACAGTCACACTTAAGGGCATGGTTCTCCTCTGTGATATAAACTGGTTCTAGCCCCCGGGCACCAGATAACAGACTGGACTAGAAGAAGCTCATAGGACTGGTATTCCATGGCAAAAGGATCAAGATGTGGGGTGGGAGCAGGGGGAAGGGCAGAACGGAGGAGGGCTGTTTGCTATCTGGACCACCACACTGGAATCTGGAGCTACGCATGTGAAACTCAGCGCTGGAGTGGGGTACCAGTGAGCACTTACTTAGCCTGAGAAGGTGGAAGACTCACTATGAAGGAGAGCAGGGAGTGCCCCATAAGGTGCTGTGGGGCCTGGGTTCTCTGTGTGTGTAAGATCCGTGTAGAGGAGGCCCCACAATGAAGAAAACACAAGGGCTGGAACCTCTAAAGCTAGAAACCTGCTTTCCTTTAAAAAGCTACACACACACACAGTTGTTGTTATGTGCCGTGGAGTCAGTTCCGATTCATAGCAACCCTTTACAGGGTTTCCGAGGCTGTAAATCTTTACAGGAGCAGAAAGCCTCATCTTTCTTCCATGGAACAGCTGGTAGTTTCGAACTGCTGACGCAGCCCGATTCATAACCACTATGTTACCAGAGCTCCTTCACACACACAGTAGAGACTGAAAAATGCTTAGCATGGTATTGGAAACAGCAGTCAAGTAAACATTGATTTGCCCGACTCCTGGACAGCAGTGTCAGCCCCAGTGAAGATGGTGGGTATTTAGAAGGTAGGCCCCAGTCAGATGTGGAGAGAAGAGATAAAACTACTTAGAGGTTTTTCTGTTATAGGCTGATTTTGTGTGTCTCCACAAACACATATATCTATATTTATGTAATGCATTCATGCTCTATAGAATCCCATGTTTTGTTCCTCTTATAGAAAAATATAATAATGAAGGCACTCCCTGCCCTACTTTCCTGCCAATGAGGTCTACTCAGCCTATTTCCCGGCAAGTATGCCTGCCTTCACACTCTTGTCCACGCTTGTTTACACACATGCATGTGCTCCACTTTTCTAAGGTGGAGATAGTGAGCTCCCAGATAACAACAGATCCCCTGAGAAGCAGGATGCCAGTGTTCTGCCTTTATAGCCAACAGCCAGACCATCCAGGGTGCCTCTGCAGTCCTGGGTGGAAGGAGGAAGGATGTTCCATTTAAATCACTGCTATGTTCCCCCTTCCCTGAACTAACTCAGATGGTTTTATCAATTGCTATGGTCCCTCTGCACTGTGCCTGCTAAGAAGTAATGGTACAGTTTAATGCCTTTTTAGTAGACATGAACCCAGTGTGGTTAATCAAAAAGATTTTTTAAAGTTGTAAGTTTGGTTAGGCAGGATGTGCTAATTACATCCCCTGGAAAACGGAAAGAAACAAGAGAAAAGGAGCACCCAGAACCAGAGGTAAGTCTGGGGTCCACGCCATGGGCCTGAGCTCCAGGTGCCAGCTCAGCAATGGGATATCCAGGACTATCTTCTTAATCACCATGTTCCTTCGCCTAGAACTGTGCTTGGCACATTGTTGTTGTTGTTGTTGTTGTTAGGTGCCATCAAGTCATCTCTGACTCATAGCAATTCTACGTACAACAGGATGAAACACTGCCAAGTCCTGCGCCAGCCTCACAATGAGTCCTATGTTTGCGCCCATTGTTGTCACCACTGTGTCAATCATCTCCTTGGGTGTCTTCTTTTTTTTCACTACTTTACCAAGTCTGATCTCCTTGGACTGGTCATTTGCAGCAGATTTGCACAATGCGATACGTTGTTTGATTTCTTGACTGCTGCTTCCACAAGTGTTGATTGTGGATCCAAGTAAAATTAAATCTTTGACAACTTCGATAGTTTTTCCTGTGATCATGATATTGCTTCTTGGTCCAGTTGTGAGGATTTTTATTTTATGTTCAGATGTAATCCATATCGAAGGCTGTAGTCTTCAATCTTCATCATTGTTGT